GTACTTCGTTCCACTCCTGCAGCAGGTTCTTGGTCTTCCGCCCTCTCCTGGTCCTCCTCCTCTCTTGGAGGGTCCACAGCCTGTCCCGTCGCGGTCACTGCTACAGCCTACCTCCCCTTTGCCTGCTCCTTCTCCCTACACTGGTCCTACTGGAGGTCTTACTGAGCGTCGTGAGCCTGCGTCTCGCCCTGCGTCGCCTGTCCGTGCTGCTCGCGCTAGTGGTCGTGGTTCGCGTCAGCGTCCTCCTCCTGTCCCTGGCACGCACAGGATGTCTCTGCGTCCGTCTACTGCTCCTCTGCGTGCCCCTTTGCCTTCTCCTCCTGAGTCCTCTCTTCCTGCTCTTCCCGACCCTGCGTCGGACTCTCTTCGTGCTGCCAGTCCTACTGTCACGCGTCTCCTTGCTACTGTCGTCACTGACCCTTCCTTCGAGTCTACTGCTGCGTCTGCCCTAGTTACTGAGCTCGTCGACTTTGCTGCTCGCTGTCGCCTAGACTACGCTGCTAGTCTTGTCGCTGAGTCTGGGTCTGCCTGTCCTCCGTCAGTCGGGGGTGAGTGTGCCCTTGGCACGGACGTCCTTGAGGACAGGCAGGAGGAGTTCCAGTGTCTGGCAGCTGCTTCACCTCATCTCGTGTCCGTACTGCTTACCCCTGAGGGAGACCCGGATGCACTTGACATCCCGACTCCGCGCTCTTACGCGGAGGCGATAGAGGGTCCCTACTCCTCTCAGTGGCAGGCAGCTATGGATGCAGAGATGGCTTCCTGGAAGTCCACAGGCACCTACGTTGACGCTGTCCCCCCTCTTGGGGCGAACATCGTCAGTGGCATGTGGATCTTCAGGGTGAAGCGGCCGCCGGGTTCTCCGCCTGTCTTCAAGGCACGTTACGTGGCTCGTGGCTTCAGTCAGCGACAGGGAGTTGACTACTTTCAGACCTTCTCCCCCACCCCGAAGATGACCACTCTTCGGGTGCTGCTACACGTTGCTGCTCACCGTGACTACGAGCTGCACTCTCTCGACTTCAGCACTGCTTTCTTGCAGGGCAGCCTGCACGAGGAGATCTGGCTGCGCCGCCCACTTGGCTTCACTGGGTCTTTCCCTCCTGGTACCCAGTGGAGTCTCCGGCGTCCAGTCTACGGTCTCCGCCAGGCGCCACGTGAGTGGCACGACACACTGAGGACTACGCTTGCGGCTCTTGGGTTTGCTCCTTCTACTGCCGACCCGTCGCTGTTTCTACGCACCGACACCTCTCTGCCGCCGTTCTACATCCTCGTGTACGTCGACGACTTGGTCTTTGCCACAGCTGACACTGCTGGACTCGCCCACGTGAAGTCCGAGCTGCAGAAGAGACACACGTGCACAGACCTGGGTGAACTGCGCAGCTACCTTGGCTTGCAGATCACCCGGGACAGAGCACGCCGCACCATTACCCTGACTCAGTCACACATGGTGCAGCAGGTCCTTCAGCGCTTCGGCTTCACGTACTCCTCGCCTCAGGCCACTCCTCTGCCTACTCGCCACTCACTCTCAGCTCTGCCTTCGGATGAGTCCGTAGAGTCGAGTGGCCCGTATCCAGAGCTTGTTGGCTGCCTCATGTACCTGATGACCTGCACACGACCTGACCTTGCATACCCTCTTAGCATTCTTGCACGCTATGTTGCTCCTGGGAGACACCGACCAGAGCACATGGCTGCAGCGAAGAGGGTGTTGCGATACTTGTGCAGTACGTCGGGCATGGGACTAGTGCTTGGAGGGCGGAGTCCAGTGGTCCTCACTGGGCACGCGGACGCTTCTTGGGCTGACGACCAGGCTACGCAGCGGTCGTCGCAGGGTTACACCTTCAGTCTTGGTTCCGGCTCTGTCTCGTGGCGAGCTACCCGCTCATCCTCTGTTCTCGGCTCCAGTTGTGAGGCTGAGATCTACGCCGGGGCCATGGCTGCACAGGAGCTTCGCTGGCTCACCTACCTGCTGACTGACCTTGGAGAGCCGCCTCGTTCTCCTCCAGTGCTGTACGTAGACAACAAGGCCATGCTGGCCTTGTGTCGAGAGCAGCGCTTGGAGCACAGAACGAAGCACATTGCTCTCCGTTACTTTCTTGCTCGTGAGCTGCAGCAGCGTGGTCAGTTGCGACTTGCGTACGTGGCCTCTCAGGCCAACACTGCTGATGTGTTCACCAAGGCACTTGCGCCTTGTGACCATCAGCGCTTCTGCACTCAGCTGGGTCTTGTACCTGTCTTGCCTCACTTGCTCTCCTCTTGACCTTACTTGTACTGTCACATATATATACCTGCTCTTGCTTGTCTAGCTCTATATATATATGTGTACTCCTGCATGTGAACTGGCCTTGTGGCCTTGTCGTTGTGCTCGGACTGTGTGGTGACGTTGTGATCCACCCTGAGCTTGCTCTGCTTTGCTTGACTGGTCTTGTGACCCCTTGTTCTCCCCCACTTTGCCTATGGGGGTGTGTCAGAACATTATATAGCTTATGCTGTTGTGTAGGCTATAGTGGGGTATCCCATAGGGGGTACAACCCAATTAGGGTTTTCTATATGTACTCACCTCATTCATAGTTCATTCATCCTCGTTCTTCATTCTTCTCAGTCGATGACGGGGTTGTGTCGTCGCAACCAATCGCGTCCCAGCAACACGTCGCAGCCGTCCAATGTTGTCGCGAGAAACTTCATGCTGAAGCCGAAATCGTCGCCGCATTCGATCCTGACCGTCCGTGTTTCTTCCGTTATCGCCAGAGGCGTCCCATCCACGAGGCGTGCGTCGATTTCGGGCAGACACCTGTCAAGTTGCAGCTTGCATCTTTTTGCGCTCGCCAAATTGAAGAGGCTATGGCTGGCCCCTCCATCGACGAACATTTTCAAATTATTTTTTAACACCTTGCCAGCGACCAGCACAGGGTGATCCACATGATTATCCCCGTTATTCGGCCGAGTGCGATCGATTGCATGAATCGGAACCACGACTCGGTGGGGATGATGGTGTTCGGGCGACGGAGCACAGTCAGTAAAGGGCCCGCTAATTACTGACTCTTCCCATTTCCCTGCTCCTTCCTGTCGTCCCCTGTCAGCGGCATTTTCTCCTGGCAGTCTTTCCTGTAGTGACCCACCTTCCCACACCGAAAACACTGACCCTTAGGAGGGCGGTCGGGTGTATGGACGGCGTTGATCGTGGCCCGATGGGTCTGGCCACGAAAGCTTCTCCCATCCCTGGAAGCTGCTCTCGCGTACTGCATCAGCGCATCAGTTGACTCCGCCACTCGTACTGCTTCGAGGAACGATGTCGGGCGGCTTCTGCGGACCTCAAACTGTATTTCATATTTAAGGCCGCTGACGTACTTATCCAACCACTCTGCTTCCGACATGTCGTCAATTTGGTCGGCGAAGCCCATAAATGACGCTGTGTAGTCTTGGACAGAAGCCATCTGCGACCATGCACGCAGCTTCATGCGAGCTTGCTCCGAGGCGGATATGTGCTCGAAGCGATCTCGTAAGGCTGCGTCCCACTCCTTCCACGTGCGTATCTTGGTCACACCGAAGATTGGTTCTGCCACTTGATTAACCACTGTAGAGGTCCCGTCTGCCGCATGTGTCACACCTGTCGGCGTCCCTGTTTCCAAGGTCCGGCGCCACCATTCAAGCGCTGCACCTCGAAGAAGCGAAACCGCGTAATTAATACGCGTGGCATCGTCATTAACTCCGGCTGCAGTAAAAAAGACTTCGACCCCGAACAGCCACCCTTTTACCGTAACCGTCTTGTCCGTAGGATTAAACGGGGGCGGGTTGGCGGGGTTTATCTTGATCGTCGTCACTGCAACTGGCGCTGCTGCCGCTCGCTGCCTATCTTCTTCTTCGAAGTCACGTGTGAGCGCATCCAGCGGATTGCTCATCGCTTGACTGTTGCCCTCGCCTTCGTCCACAGGCGACTCCTGACGCGCTTCACCTCGCGTCTGGCGTAGCTCGGCGTTTTCCTCCCGTAACGTTGTCACATCCGCCATTAATGATTCCATGCCCTGCTTCATTTCTGCCACTTGCGCCATCAGCCGGTTAACAGCCACCTGATCCATGTGCCTAGCACTACGTCTGGTGAGCAGTCGGGTACCCGTGGCCTCCCGGCAAGTGAAAACACGAACTATCGGAGTCGGGCAGGATTGAATTAACAATCCCTGCAACCAACCGTCGTGTAGTCACTAAACCAACCACACCCGTGCCACCAAACTACCCTCGAAAAGCGGGGTGAACTAGGAAAGTAGCTCTGATACCAGGTGTTATGAGTTGTAAAAGAGAGTGCGCAGGTAAACGAATAACGAGGCTGTGACTGAATCAACTGCGAATACAATGAATGCACAGACTAATGTAGGGCTAGCCTAGTTAGGAGGAAACCTCGGACAAGCGAGGTTGGGTGCAGGTTGGGCGATGGAAATGCCGAAGGCGACGCGAGGAGCCTCGGCAGCGTTGAAATCGGCCGAACGTGCAACTCCGAAAATCGGGTTGTACGCGAAGCAGTCAACCCCGATAAGGAATTCAGGGCAACATGCTCACCAGGGCTTTTGCTTTACATTATGTGATTCGGCCAGTATGTGATATGACTCTCATTCCTGTAAGTTAGACCTTCTCATTCCTGTAAGTTAGACCTTCTCATTCCTGTAAGTTAGACCTTCTCATTCCTGTAAGTTAGACCTCTTTTTGTATTGAATTAGTAGCGAACCAGAAATATATTTGCTGCAAAGGCAACACCGAATACAGAACAGCAGGTCATAAGACGATTCCCCGCAGCCATATACTGGCAGTCCCTTGATACAAGCATCAAAATCAACCTCATGCCACTGCACTTAAATGACTCATAACACTGATTGCTACACCTCCATTGCACGCCATCCTTCGCGTTCTTATAACAAACTCGAATATTTGGAGGGCTCGGCCAAGAACCGACCCAAATGCTTCATGCCACAAACCGAACCAAACCCATCCGAACCGTTTTCCCGCATGGCCTCTGGTTATGACCTCTTGAATGTCTCGTACTGCTTGGGGTTTGGAACGTCCAACGCGATTCCTATCTTGTAGTTTGGGCAGTATTTGACCTTGGGGGACATTTCTACAGGCGATTTGGGAGGCTCTCCGGGGCACTGTAGCAGGTGCAGTGGTGATGATGGTTTGTAGAGCGGTCATGATGATTTGTTGATGAGACGGGAGAAACGTGAGGGGAAGGGGAGAAAGGGAGAGGCAAAGGGTAGAGGATGAGTTGCGGGGAGGGAGATGACGGGAAGAAGAGTGCAAACACAGGTGCAATTTATAACGCCAGATAGAACACAAATACACAAGACGCACCTGAGTCAGCTTCAGTCAAGGCCCTGTCTGGGTAAACGCCTGAAGCACCTGAACCAGCTGATGCTGAGGCTCCAACTCACTGCATGCACCCATGCTGCCACTCACCTGGATCTGCTGTTGTTGTGGTTCCAGCATGGAGAGGTAGCACGGCTCGGGCATGGTGACCTCACACTCGGGCAGCTTGTTCCTTTCCCAGTCTCGCATGGTGATTTTTTACTAGTGCACCCACACACCTGAATCTGCTGTTGTTGTGGTTCCAGCATGGAGAGGTAGCACGGCTCTGGTGTGGTGACCTCACACTCACACTCCGACTGCTTGTTTCCTTTCCAGTGTAATGTGCTGACCTCACACGATGACCTGACTCCTCCCACCCACGCACCTGGATCTGCTGTTGTTGTGGTTCCAGCATGGAGAAATAGCACGGCTCTAGTGTGGTGACCTCACACTCGTTCCCCCTTACTTCCTTCCCAGTCCCTGTGCAATCACCTGACACCAATACGTGAGTGCCTACACACCTGAATCTGCTGCTGCTGGGGCTCCAGCATGGACAGGTAGCAGGGCTCGGGCGTGGTGACCTCACACTCGGGCCGCCCGTTGACGTCCCAGTCGGCGCCCATGCGCCGCACGATGTTGAGCGAGTAGGGACTCACTCCCGCCAGCCCTGCGGCCATGTAGCCAAAGGTGGAGCTGTCACTCACCAGCAGCAGGTCGCTGGGGAGTTGAGGGGAGTGGGTGAGAGGGGGGGGTGTGGGAGAAGAGTGAGAGAGAGTTGCAATCGCTGAAGGTTCATCCCTGCGTGGCCCGAGGCTGAAGGAACCACCAGGTCCCACTCCTGCTGCTAGTCTGCCCGTGCCCGCCCGTTGACATCCCAGTCGGCGCCCGTTGACATCCCAGTCGGCGCCCGTTGACATCCCAGTCGGCGCCCGTTGACATCCCAGTCGGCGCCCGTTGACATCCCAGTCGGCGCCCGTGCGGCGAACAATGTTGAGAGAGAAGGGGTTCACTCCCGCTAGTCCGGCCGCCATGTAGCCAAACGTGGAGCTGTCACTCACCAGCAGCAGATCGCTGGGGGGGGAGTGGGGGAGAAGGGGGGGTGGGGGAGAAGAGTGAGAGAGAGTTGCTATTGCCAGGGGTTCATTCTTTCTGTAGCCCGAGGCTGAAGGAATCAACAGGGCTCACTCCTGCTGCTAGCCCGCCCGCCCGTTGACGTCCCAGTCGGCGCCCATGCAGCGAACTATGTTGAGCGAGTAGGGGCTCACTCCTGCCAGCCCAGCTGCCATGTACCCAAAGGTTGAGCTGTCACTCACCAGCAGCAGGTCGCTGGGGGGAGAGACGGCAAGTGGGGTGGTCGGGGACAGAGGGGGGCAGACTGAACATGGCAACAGAGTGAAGGGGACATGGGAGAGAACACAACACACCAACGAGAACTCAGCACAGCGTGATTCAATTGCCTCTCCTCTCCCTACTCTTGCCCTGAGATGAGCTGTCCAGCTGTCTCTCCTCACCATACATCTGCCCCGACTGCGCAGGAGTCTCACTAACTCTCCCGCCAGGGGGTTGCTACCGCAACTCCTAGGCCCCTCATTCACTCACCACACGGACAGCACTGAGGGGAAGCGAACGACAGGCACACACGCTTCTCACTCACCACATGGAAAGCAGCCACATCTCCTTCAGAGCCAGCTCCAGCTGTCTCTCCTCTCCATACGTCTGCCCCGACTCGTGGCTCAGGCTGGCAACAGCCACGTCGTGTCCCCCCAGCGGCAACCCCTCCACATAAGCATCCCGGATGGCGTCTTGATAGGACCGTTTCAGGGATGCCACCAACACGCCTATGCTGCGTGGGCTGCTGCTTTCATAGGCTTTGTCTCGTGGTTGATCCAGCCACTGCTGCTCCACTGCAGTCGGGGCGACCTGAGGAGCAGAGAGAGGGTGGGAGGTAGGGAGTGAGTGAGGGAGCGTTTCAGGGACGCCACTAACACGCCTATGCTGCGAGGGCTGCTGTTACTCTCGTACGTTTTGTCCCGTGCTCCGCTGCAGTCGGTGGGACCTGAGGGGCAGAGAGGGATTGGGAGCGGGAGGGAGGAGGGTCTTGCTTGTTTGTACCAATCACCGCATTGACACAAAGGACCGTTTGAGGGAGGAGGCATCACACCACACCAATAGCACAACTATCTTGAGCGGTATTGTTTTGAGAAGTCTCAAAACTCTACTTTCATCACGTGGGACGAGGCATCACACCACACCAATAGCACAACTATCTTGAGCAGTAGCGCTCTCATTTTAAGTGAACCCCCCCATTATGATGCAGATGCTTTTCTTTATGCAAGGAGACTGGCTGTTTCCGAAGCAAGGCGTTTTTCCTTCACAAATTTCACACTGGTGATCCTTTTGCTTTACCGCTCTCTGTAGTACTGCCGACCTTCTATTACGAGTCAAGAAAACTCCGTGTTCATAATGCTATTCTCTGCTTAAGCATCTCCTTCGTGAGTCCCACCCCTCACCTCTTCATTCATAATGCTCTTCCACCGTGTATGCTCCATCAGGGGAGGCAGCCCCTTGGATATATTCACAGCACACTGCATCGTGCGCTGAATCACGTGCGGCTCATCGGCAGTTTCCGTGGTGAAGTCCCGGATCTGTGGTTGTGGAAGGGTGGAGAGGGGGCACGAATGCAATAGTGGGCCGGATGAAAAGGGAAACATGGGCCTTGAATAATTTGTGCAGCTTGTCTGCAGTTTCAGTGGTGAAGTCCCGGACCTGCAGAACACCAACTATGTGCAGACCTGAAAGCCTTCAGACCCTCTTAATTTTTTTTTTTTTTTTTTTTTTTTTTTAGTTTAGCACACGGATCCATGCAGTCTCGACAGTGGTGCAAGGCAGATATCAAGCCTACAGTACGTACCTGGTTGTCTGTCAAGAGTAGGAAGAGGTTCGACCGCAGCAAGCCTACAGATCTTTGACTGTCAGTTGTTGTCTGTCAGTTCCCCCTGCTCCATACTGATATGGATGCCAAACCTATGTTGGTAATGATCTGGATGCCAAACCTATGTTGGTATGGTACGGACCTGGATGCCGACCCTGTGTTGGTACGGACCTGGATGCCGACCCTGTGTTGGTACGGGGCGAGGTAGGCTCGGAAGGCGCGGGTGATTTCCTCCCAGAGGTAGTTGGCGGGGTGCAGCAGGTAGCGCCCCACGTGCATCAACGGCAGGCGGTCGGGGAATAAAAGCTCCAACTCAGCCTGATAGGGCAGGGGGGACAGACCAGAGGGGGTTATGAACGAGATGGAGTGAGGGAGATGAGAGCAGGAGAGCACTCGTGCAGCAGGTAGCGCCCCTCGTGCATCAGCGCCAGGCGGTCAGGGAATAAAAGCCCGAGTGTGCGTACATCCAAGTGTGCTTACATCGAATTCAGGGACGAGGTAGAGGGCTGGCAGGATGTATTCCTCTGTATCGAGCCCCAGGAAACGGACGGCCGAGATCTGCTTCTTCACCTTGGAACAGTAAAACGCGAGATCTGAGACGTTGGCTCTGCAGGATTGGGGAAGGAGAGAAGATTGTGTGAGAAGGGTAGAAGTTAGGTGAAGGGAGAGGAATAGATAGAAAAGAAATGGTGTAGGTTTGAAGAGAAGAGAAGGGGAGGGGAGGAGAATGATCAGGTTGCGTGCTTTTTTCCCCCACCAACCATTCTCCAAAACACTCTCACCCACCGTCGCCCACCCCGTCCGACGCCCCACCTGCAGGTGAGATCGCTGAAAGCAGCGATGGGGGCAGCTTCTCCTCTCACCCACAATCACCTATCCTCACCCACGCCCACCCACGCCCCACCTGCAGCTGAGTGAAAGCGGCAGTGGAGTGGCACTGCCCCTCATCGCCCCCTCTCACCCACCCTCACCTACATTTACCCCACTCCCACCCACGCCCCACCTGCAGCTGACTTTTGAGTCGACTCAAAAGTCACTCCCACCCACGCCCCACCTGCAGCTGAGGTCGATGAGAGCGGCAGTGGAATGCCTCTGCCCCTCATCTCCCTCTCTCACCCACCATTCACTCACAACTACCGAACCGACACTCACCCACAATCACCCACCATGCACTCACAACTACCCACACTCACCCACAATCACCCACCATGCACTCACAACTACCCACACTCACCCACAATCACCCCATCTCACCCACCCACGCCCCACCTGCAGCTGAGGTCGCTGAAGGCCGCATTGGGGTGCCTCTGCCACTCATCTCCCCCTCTCACCCATCTTTACCCACCCTTGCCCACCCTCACCCACTCTCACCCATCCCTACCCACGGCCCACCCACCCCTACCCACGGCCCACCCACCTGCAGCTGAGGTCGCTGAAGGCCGCATTGGGGTGCCTCTGCTCCTCGTCTCCCCCTCTCGCCCCATCGTCCATCCCCACCATGCGCCCCACCATGTGATTCCGCGCCACTGCTGCCATCAGACTGGCGGGGAGGGGTGGAGAGAGGTTGGAAGGGATTGGGTAGGGTGGGGGTATGGGGGGTGGTTGAAGTAGAAAGCGAGAATCTACCTCACAAAGGACGCTCCTCTCACAACCTCGTCCACCCCCATGCGCCCCACCATGTGATTCCGCGCCAATGCTGCCATTAGATCGGCGGGGAGGGGCGGGGAGGGGTGAGGAGAATTGGGTGGAAAATGGGTGGGGAATGGGAAGAGGTAGCGGTAATAATGGGATTGCGGGAAGGGGTTGCAGTTGCTGAGGAGACGAGGCGGGCAGAGAAGGCTGCAGGGCGAAGCGAAGCAGCAGCCTGGTGCTCTTCTTACTACATAACAAGGTACTCACTCAAAGATCTCAGAGGAGAGGGAGGGCGGGCGGGCGCCAGGAGGTTGCAGAGGAGACGCGCGTTGAGCGGAGGAGAACAACGCCGCGACTTTTGAGTCACATGGCTGACTCAAAAGACACGCGTTGAGCAGAGGAGAACAACGCCGTATGGCTGAGCAGCAACCGACTCAAAACCCCGCCCCTTCATTCGCTCACTCACTACTCACCTGGTGCTCTTGCCACAAAACAAGGCACCCACTCGGGGTTCTCTTGCACTCACTCACTCAAAGGGCACTCACTCGAAGTCTTCAGAGGATAGCGAGGATGGGCGCCAGGAGGAGTGGGGGAAGGGGTTGCAGAGGAGACGCGCGTTGAACGCTGCAGGGCTGATCAGCAGCGTGCGGTCGGTGAGAAGGGCGTATACGAAGGCAGAGACGAGCGAGAGCAGTTGATTTCCCAGGCCTGACCAGCAAACGTGGGGAAATGAGGGGAGGCAGTGGGGGACAGAGCGTGCGGTTGGTGAGCAGGGCGTATACGAAGGCAGAGACGAGCGAGAGCAGTCACAGCAGGTACTAGCAATCACGCCACAGTGACTTTTGAGACGTCTCAAAAGTCGAGCGACAACAGTCACAGCAGGTACTGGCGCTGTGGCCTCTGCGCGCTGAGAGTGGGACACAGAAGGACTCTCACTCACCATTGAACGTGGGCTCGAGCCACAACAGGTACTTGCAGTCTACGGTCGCATCGGCTGCCCCGCTGCTGTTGCTGAGTGCCTGAGATCTGAGAGAGGGACACAAGTGATGCCATGCCTCACTCACCGTTAAACGTGGGCTCGAGCCACAGCAAGTACTTGCAGTCTACAGTCGCATCGGCTGCCCCGCTGCTGTTGCTGAGCCCCTGCGCACTGCGATTGGGACACGAGGGGGGCGGAGACACGAGGGGAGCGGGAGGATAATGTGAGAGGTAAGCGGCAGAAAATTGGTGCCCGGGTGCTGTTCGAAAGAACAGGAACAGGAACTTACAGGGAGGATGTGGGAAGGTGGAATGTAGGGTGGAGTGTGGTCATCTCGACAATTTGGAGGGAATGGGATGGGGGGATCTGCCGTGGGATGCGGGGCGGACTCACGGGTCGTTGAAGTGCGGTACAGGCGGCGCGTGATTTAAAGTGGCGCTGGATGCGCGTTTTGAGACGCCTCTACCTACGCTTGGAAGGGGCCGTGAGATGCGGAGCGGACTCACGGATCGTTGAAGAAGGCCGGCCAATCGGCGACGGCACCGGTGCACGCGGCGTGTGTCTTGGTGTAGCGCTGGATGCGCTCGAAGAGCGCGTCGGACATGCGCGTCGCCGTGCTGAACGGCTGCACGCATGAAGTCAAGATCAGAGGTCAGGATTGCTCGAATGCTCGAATGGCAGGGATCGATCGAATGCACGAAATGACAGGGATTTCTCAAACAGCGCGCGTCGGACACCCTCGGCTGTACGGCTGCACGCGTAAGATCACAAACGCGAAAACGACTACGATTAATCTGACAAGTCGAACGCCACTCACAGATTGGTAGTAACGGCGCTCTGACACGCTCCAGCAGAGCGACGAGGAGAACGCTTCTTCTTCCATGTTCGCGTAACTCCCGGAGCCGCCGTCACCGCCGCCGGCGCCGCCGCTGGGTAGGTGGTGATGGTGCAGAGCGCGAATGGCGGCGTCAGCCTCGTAGAGCTGCCGGCGACGTTGACTGACATCGTGACGGTCGTCAGTAACCCGACTTCCGGCGGCTCGGCCGTCAACCCGACGATCATCGGCTAGGTCATTAACCCGTAGTTGACGGCGATCTTGATCGAAATCGTAGTAACGGTCACTAATTCGACTGTCCGCGTCGCGGTAACTGGCAGTATTACCCTCGTCGACGAGTTGTCGGCGGTGAGACTGCCGGTCTAATCTGTTATGACCGGCGATGTGATCATTCTGGTGGCTTCTTGCATGCGAGCGTGTGCTTGTAACGGGGTGAACGGAGATACACGCGATCAGCAGGAGAGTCAGAAAGAATCGCCATGAGCTTCGAACGGACGGATTGGACAGACTGCATGGGTGCGCCATGTTGTATCACATAAACAAGCCGTTCGGCGTTCCGACAACGATTTCACTCTTAATCCGGTTCTTTGGCTTTCTCCTTCCTTCTGCCTTTAAGACGAGACACGGTCCGGTTGGAGGTATCAGACCATAAGCACAAACTAAGCGACGTTTCGTCGGACAAGAAACGCGGAGCTTTCTTGTAAAGTTACGTGGTTTGTCGAGAGTGTTATCGACGCCAGCGGGGCGTCGCGAATCGCGCGATGCTAGCCTGGACAACTTGTATTGGCCCAACACCTAGGCTGCCTAGAGAGGTACGAGTGTGCGCTAGTCTTGATTATGGGCTTTCCCTAAATTCTCAGAACGAATTCCGGCTGAATTTGCTGTTGATTTGCTTGCTGTCTGTCAACAAAAGGATGAAATGGCCCGGTACAGATTCCTTGGTTCTATTGATTTTGGTCGGTTTTGCTCGGTTCTGCTTGATATGCTCTATTTTCCTCGGTTTGCACGACTTGCTGGGCTTGGTTCTGGTGGTGTAATTTGAAGGGTGGGTGCAGGGGAGCGGGGGAGAGGGGGGGTGCAGGGAGAAAAGAGGGGAGTGGGGGCTGCGTGGGAGATTTGGGTGGGGAGAAGGGGGGAGTGGTAGGGGCAGGGATTGATGATGATTGGTTCCAGCCCAAGCGCTGAGGAGCTGAGGGGGAAAGCTGACGGCGCCTGCCGGCTGACGTTGAACTGAACTGTCAAAGAATGCGACGCGGCGTGGGGGGGAGGGGGGAGGACCCTTGAAGTTTGCATTGCGTTGCGGGTCCTGCAAAGCTGGGCAGGAGGCGAGGCGAGCTGAAATGCAATTCAGCAAGCTCTTCGAAGTTGGAGGATGACCGAGTCGCATGGACTGACCGCATGTCTGACGAGATGCAATAACGAAATGCGCTTAGACTGCGGCTGTACTCGTTTTAGCGGAATCGGCTTAGACCGAGTGTACACAGCACATGCATGGCTATGCTGTTGCCACATTCACGTTTCATTCTCTGGCTAGACCATTCAACAACCTGTAGGTGCTTATGTTGGTGCATGCTGTACCTTATGCGTTTCGATTCTCGTACCAGGCAACATCTGATACACATAAATTGAATGCAATGACTTGCTACTCTCAGGCATACTGTGGAACTACATCCTAATGAGAGCTTTGGATCTCCATTGGCAATCCAGCAAGGGACTGCAACCATGATTTTAGCTAGGCAGCATTTTACTGGTAAGCGAAAATAAAAGGTGTCACTCATCGTCAGCACAAATCTGAATGTAACTTGAACATTTGTAGGGTTCAGGGATCTCCTAGGTTGGCGAAAAGCTGAAACCTGCTACTGTACCAAATTTCCAGCAGCATTTGACCCTCACCGGAGCAAATTTACTGGTTACCCCAAGGTTGGGCTAAATGCTGGAGCTCATTGACAACACATTAGCAAAAAACCCCACTAGCTCTTTATTTCACTCGAAGGTTACCAAGGTACTGGAAAACTAACCCAATAACTACTTCTAGCAAACAGCCCCACAGCTACTTCTCATCCCACGCAAAAATAAAGTCATGCAAACATCATGAGCGCAATCGCAAGAAAAGCCCCAGCAAGCGTGGGACGCGCAACTCCCGACGCCTTGGGGACAGGCGGGGATGGCGGGAGCGTGAAAATCGGCTTGGGATACTGGGTATCGTTCATGCACTGCGTGGTGTTGATCGGACGGTTGAGGAGGTCAGTGTACTTGGTGAGATCGACGGTTCCGATGGGACAGTTATTCTCGGGGTCCAGGGCGAAGGGGTCGCAGCACAGCGTGGTCTTGGGGATGTATTGCGGCGCAACGCCGTTGAAGCAGTTAGCGTTAGTCTGGGGGAGGGGAAAGAGGAAGGGGGAAGGGGGGAAAGACGGGGGTGGAGGAGGGGTGAGAATGGGGTGAAAGAAGGTGCAAAAGATGGAAGCCGAAAGAAGGGAGTTTTCGGGGTTCACAAAATGGGTTGTGGTGACTGGCACAGGCTGTTAGGGGGGAGAATGTGAGCACTGAGAGCAAGGAAGATCGTATTAGCACAGCGAATATCGCGAAGGAGGTACTGTCGAAGTACAGCGCATATGGTCAGTGCAGTAATAAAATAACATTCCGCAAGGACCATTGGCGAACAGAAATGATGCCAACAACTGCTAGAAAAGAGGAGGCGAGTGCAGTAACACGGTAACATTTCGCGAGGACAATATGCGAACAGGAGCACACACTGACCACGTTAGCCACGACCGCCTTGAACGCAATGATGCCGAACATTGCTCCGAAACCCGTCAGAGACAAGCTGGCGAACGTGGTAGCGTCGGTGACATTGTTCATGACTCCATCTGCACGTGATGATACGAGGTAGGAAGTGGAAGGGAATACATTAAGATGGGAAAGATAGACAAGGTTAAGGGGAAAAACAAGAGCAGAGCTGGCGAACACGACAGCGTCGGCGACGTTGCTGATGGTGCCGACTGCACGCAATGATGCGAGGTAGGACGGAGGAGAGCCGAACAGATGTTGAAGGGAGCATATTAGGATGTTCGTGTTCTCTCGTCCTATTATGAACATGAACATGAACAAGGGAGCATAATAGGACGAGAGAACATGAACAGAAACTAAATCTGCGAGGAGAGACAGATGACATCATGCGGTGCAATTTCGACACGTTCTGACCAAAACTAAATTGGCCACCAAGTCGCGGATGAGCGAACACTGGATGACCATTAAGCGAAGAATGGCGAAGACTTACATCGCGAGTCCTTGCAGGCTGCATAGAGCTGGTCGGCAAACGCGGGGCAGATGGTGATTGTGGGGCCGTCGTTGTACTTGATGACGTAGTTACCCATATCTGTTGCCAAGGGGGGGATCGGATCGGATTAGATTGGAGGATCACGACAATAAAGCTGAGATTATAGGGATCGAAGCCTGGTCAGTTAAGAAAAGACTTAGTAAGCTCCTTGATACCAGAGGATACCTCCACCATGACAAGTAGCATCACCTGGCTAAAAACGCGCACGCAAAAGACAGATGTCATCATGACTGACAGGATGGTACAACGTCGCCACATTAGTGTAACGGAAAGTGATTACCATAGTTGTGATTGGACAAGACCCAAAGGGTTGTAGTGGGCTACGAAAATCTAGGAGAGTTGTTACCAGGGTTGCATGTCGCGGCGCAGGCAACGGACTCAAGCAGCAGCTCGCACTGCTGGTAGCCGGAGAGAAGATTGCAGGCCTGAAATGTAGGGCAGGGGGAAACGATAGAGAAGGAGGGTGGAAATTAGGGGGAGAACCAATCAAAACTTCGCCGCACGGAACCAGGACCGACGTCAAGGCGAATTGCATCGTATAGTGCAGCCGTCACCGGTGCTTTCTTGATCTCATTTCCAACACGAAAGACTATAAATGTGAAAAGATCGGATACGAGAACGCTACGGCATTGCAACCAGATCGGGTACGAGAACGTTGCGGCACTGGAACCGGATAGGATAAGAGAAGGCAGGGCACTGGAAGCAGATTTATCTGGCACGACTTACCGGGGGGGCTCCCGAGGGGAAAATGCCGGTGGTGTTCCATAGGGCGGTGCCGGTGGACGCCGCCTCGGATCCCTTGGACGCATTCGACTTGATGAGACGCAGCCCGAGCTCGTAGTCTCCGCACGGCATGCAGCAACTCTTCTTCGACGCCGCCAGGCAGCGGACCATCGGGACCATTGTGTCAGCGGGCGGCGAGCCGCTGATCGGGCATGTTTTGTACGTCTGCGCGTGAGCCGCCAATGCCGCGCAAGCGACGATGAGGAGGAGGAGGGCCGAGCTGGTAAGGCTGGTTCGCGCCATTGTGGACGAATGGAGGTGTGCGAAAAGCGACGCTGCTTTTATGGCGCGGGAGAAAGGCAGCGCCTTGTAGGGTTATAAACACGTGGTGTGATATTTGAATACAGTGACGCGTGGGCTGATGTTTGAATGTGCCGAGGGAGGAAACACGCGGCGAACTGGTACTAAATGCTAGAGTGTTTTCACAAGGCAGACTTTCTCGTGTGAGAGCCTTTCACTGGTGCTGCATGTTGCATCAGGCAGGAAGTATGGCGTCTGCTGAATTGGCGCTGTTTTCTCAGCATGCTCTGGGATTGATGACCAGGATCGCGTCGCATGCAGTGGATGGAAATTGAGAGGCGGCGAGAGATGCATTTCCGGCGCGATAAAGAGGGCGGATCCTACGATTCCTTCCATGATCTCGCGTCGCGGCGCGGTACTGTCCTTGGCTGCATTATGACACGGTGGACGTCAATGCCAAATGGAACACTTTGAATGGAGAAGGTTCAGGGTTTCAGGTACCAGACGAATCGCAAATGAACAAGCTGGATGGTCGCAATGACGAGGGAAGAAGAAAGATGCTTCGCGTTTTACGGAAGGCATATTCCGAGAATATATTCCCCTCCAAAATTACCAAAATACTTGGGTCTGTGCACTTACTACTTGCAGTACAAGCAGCACATAAACTCTACATATCACACAGCATTCCCTTCATATTGCCCCCCTGACAAGAATCATTTTAGATTAATATAGTTAAAATGCGTATTTTTTCAATAAATCGAACATGTAATGGACTCATTGTAAAATATCCGCTAGCTTCCTTTCCAAAACAAATCACTTGATAAATATAATCTACCAAAATTAATTTCTTTGATAATAAATCAACGCAAACAAATATTCAAATCACAGCACTCACATTAGTTTATTGCAACACCTGTTGTATGGAGGCTTGCTGTTTGAGGAAAATGAATCATACTTTGTCAGATATGAGCCCGAACCGCAGATTTGCTAGATTGTTACATGTTATCCCACCTGCGAGTCGCTGGAGCTCATCTGACTTGGCACGGATACCTACAGGCGCTGACGTGGATTTTCAGAATGTATGAATTGTCACTGTCATTCCACCTCACCCCAACTGACCCTTTGATATCGCCGACAGCCATCTGCCCAGCGCAGCACAGGTCAAAATTCCTCACCACAAAAATGGTTGTTGAGGGGATTTCCCAGGCACGATCTTCAGCAAAACTCCACAATTTTCCGCGACCCCACTGGTCAGCTTGCCCACGAATGCCAGTTGAGGTGCCACGTCTGCGGAGCTCAAAAACTGCCTTCCAGGAATTCACTTTCGCGCCGCGCAAAGTGGAGAAAGAATCCCCTTCCCCCATGTTTCCAGCCGCATCACCAGAGAGAGTGTGACCGCTGGGGGAGGATCGCGGGCGACACTTCCGCTCCAGAGCCTTCATTCGTCCGCCACAGGTCCCAACTCCCCCCACTGGTTCCTCCCGCCGCCATCCTTCTCCCCCTCCCCCCACAAACCCAACCCGTTCCCCCCACCCCTCCCTGCTTCCCTTCCCCCCGACCAGCGTCTATAAATGGGTCTGCAAAAGTTCACTCTATTCCATACCTAGTCTCACTCCTAGCTCGAAGTAATATACTGGTAGCTTATTTATAGATTTCAGTCTTAGCCTTCCTACCTGCGTCTCATAACGCTCTGAGCCTCGCGAAATTCACAACCATCAATTAGCATTCTTCTTAACTGTCCGTCGTTCGTCAATCATGTCGTCCCTCGCGTCGCATTTCGCACTGTCGGCCCAATCGCTTCCCGCCATTCCTTCCGACTGCTTCCGCCCGAGGCAAGGCTCGAGTAACGGCGCGCGCTGCCAATCGTCCCAGCTCGCAGTCACCGCCGCCCAGACTCGCCCGCTCGCGCCGTCGCTCCCGCCGCAGTCAACCTCCCGTTACAGTCACTCCCGCCGCGCGGACATCGCGGCTCCTCCGCGCGTCATGGCGGCGTACGCGGAAAGTGCGGCGGACGGCACGCCACGATTGCCGAATTCGTTTCATGAAATCACGAGCGAGCAGGAGCTGGATTGGGTCCTCAAGGACGCCGCGGATTGCGGCGACCTCGTTCTTATCGACTGGTAAGCTAAATAAACCATCACTCTCATGCAACCACCACACTCATGTAAACACTTTTTCCATTCATAAGCTTTGAGCGAGCGAGCAGGAGCTGGATTGGGTGCTCAAGGATGCCGCGGATTGCGGTGACCTCGTTCTCATTGATTGGTAAGCTCATGCAACCCACGTTGGTCGTTTGTATCCTCTTCTCTTCATTCTATTGCTACGCGATTCCCCAAGCACGCCGTCGATGGTGGCATGGTATCCTCGTGCTTATCAATTGTTACGCTTGTGTAACCATCGGGTGCCATCGTATTTTTGCTCACAAGCCATCATTTACCTGTTATCACGCTTGCGTATCTGCTGCTGCTACGATCAATCTGTGAATCTGAACTACCCTTCCTGCTACTCCTGTTCCGGTGTTACCTTTGCTCGAAAAGTCTCTTGTACGCATTACGAATTCAATTCGTACTAAACGTCCTCTCGTACATTCGCCGCATTTATTTCCTTACTAAGTTTCCTAACCAATGCGCACTATACCTTTGAAATTCCCTCGCGCCTTCTCTTACCAGGATGGCGCAGTGGTGCCGCAAGTGCATCTACTTAAAGCCCAAGATCGAGAAGCTCGTACCCGAGTACCCCAAGTCAGTGACCCCGACCGCCCTTTCAGTTCCGCCCTTTCGGTTCTGCCCTTTTCGTTCCGCCTTTGCTGTTCCGCCCTTGTTGTCATGCCATTATGTTCCGCCCTCGTGCAATTTCTCACCCGAACTCTTTCCTTTTTCATACCTCCCTCTCCATTTCTCTTCCCTCTTCTTGCCCCTGCCACGTCCCCTAATCCCCTCTTTACATCTCGCTCCTTCGCCCCCACCCTCCACCCGCCCCATGTACACTGCATCTCTCGCTGTTACACCTCTCGCTGTTACGCATCTCTCGCTGTTACGCATCTCTCGCTGTTACGCATCTCTCGCTGTTACGCATCTCTCCCTGTTACGCATCTCTTGCTGTTACACATCTCTCACTGTTACACATCTCTCGCTGTTACACATCTCCCTTTTTGAACAAAGTCACTCCTCTTGCTCTCTTCTCTCTCCCAATCTACCCTTAAACTAACGCCACGTCCCCTCTTCTCTTTCTCTCTGCCCTTCGCGCCTGGCTGTGTGCTGTGCTCTGTGCCCTGCGTCTCTGCATCTCGTGCCGTAACGTGCCGTGATTCCGTTGGCTGCTGGCTGCATTGCTGTGTGCGTTCACTGCTGGTCAACGGCTGGTCAACGCTGGTCAACGGCTGGTCAATGGCTGGTCAACTGTCGCTACGAGGGGCGGCAGTAGGGTGCGATTTTTTGTGGTGGATGTGAACAAGGTTCCCATGAAGATGGTGCAGAGGGGGGGAGTCACGGTGAGTGTGGGTGGGGTGAGGTCTTTTGGTTGCTGTCGCATCACATCCCCTTGCAACAACCTATTTGTCTTTTGGTTGCTGTCTTTTGGTCTTTTGGTCTTTTGGTCTCTGGATGTGAACAAGGCTCCCATGAAGATAGTGCAGAGGGGGGGAGTCACGGTGAGTGCTTGTGTTGTTGTTCCTTGTCATGTGTTGTGCCAACTGCTGTAACTTCTGAGTCGACTCAAAAAGTCAATGTACTGCTGCATGAGTGTGTGAGGTATCAAAACCGGGCTGGTGGGTTATGGTGGGTGTGAACAAAGTGCCAATGAAAGATTCTGCAGAGAGGGGGGGTCACGGTGAGTGCTGGTGGGTTGAGTTCCCTTGCTTGCTGTCGCTGCCACGTCACATTGCAACAACCTGTCTGCTTCTTCGTGGTGGGTGTGAACAAAAGGTCTGGTGGAGATGGGGCAGAGGGGGAGAGTGACGGTGGGCGCTTGTTGCTCTTTGTGTGCTGGAATAAGTAGTGTGGATGTGTGTGTGTGGCATAGAACATGTGCAGCTTCTGTATCTTGCCACCAAAGGACTTGCTGCTTCTGTGCTGCTAGTGATAGTGGTTGCGATGTTTCTCCCGCTGCTGTGCCACTTCACATCGCAACCACTATCTCAAATGTATACAGTCCTATCATTATTCCCCTTCCTTTCATTCCATTCTCCCATCTCCTCTGTCTCGTGCATGATGGCGTTGCGGCTCTTGCTGTTGCGACTCTCGCGTTGCTGATTCCTGGTGTGGCAACAGAAAATGCCAACGATTCAGGTACACCACACTCCCCGTTATCTGTTGTGTTTCTTTGCATTCCTGCGCTTGCTAATACACGCACGCGATGGTTCGGAGCACACTCATCAGGCATGCACGTTTGCACCACACGCGCTAGAAAAATACACACACATCTCTGGAATGTTTTACAGCCGTCCAGCCACACACACAACCACCTAGACAAGCAGACATACGACACTATACAAACATACACACGCAGGATCATTAAACATACCTCACACATACATGTCACATTATCAGCACAGTCATCACACTTGACTGCACACTGCCCTATCTGCCTTAACTGCTGGCCACGTCTGTAAGCAGAATGAGGAGAGGCATTTGAGTAAGGTGACATGCACATCACCATGCTAATACCGACACACTCGTCTTCCCTGGCCTTGCTGCCCTGCATTGAACTTGCCATGATCTGCAACTCACGCTACTTCATCCTGTGGTCTCGCAGATTTGGAAGGAGAACGAGAAGGTGGAGGAAACGGTGGGAGGGGAGGCAGCATGGTTAGTGCTTGATAACATTCGCAATGCCATCAAGCGACAGTCATAAACAGTTTAATGGGATGGGTTGCACATACACAGAGAATGTGCATTGGAATGGGTATGGGGTGACCCATGGACGCAGCATGGCTGGTGCTTCAAAACATTTGCAATGCCATAAAGCAGCAGCCACGAACAGGCTAAAAGGATGTCATGTCATGCTTATCACTTTTTTCGCCACCACACAACAAGCATCCTGTATATCTGGAAGGAAGTTGCCTATTGTTGCAGCACATACAGCGACCACTACGGTATTTATTGTTACCGCCTTTTCTCAGCGACTACTTGTCACTGATGCGGTCAGTGTGTCCGGGAGTCCATTCATCTATGTTTTCCTTTTCCTTAGCGTGCTTCGGGGACCGTTGAGACTCAAGTGGTATTACTTTGCTGGGCCTGTTTTGCAGTATTTAATTTGAAGTGCATTTAATTTGAAGTGCGTCTTGAGACGCTTTACTGCACATGCCATTGCCCTGTATACATATAAACAGCAAAACGAGAACCTACATTGCAATACCCCACTTCCAGCACACCTCTATTCTGTGAAAACAGAGAGGAAGACTCCTGCTATAACAAAAATAGATTACCAAGGTGACCACCTGCTATAACAAAAATAGATTACTCCCCTCACTTGACTCCCTGGTACCATGGAGGGCGAATCACCGTGTCCACGCCATGCACTACATTGATCTTCCCAGCAAAGAGGTTTTTCCTCACAATCTTCCCCGTGTACTTAGCTCCAACGGACGCCCCCAAACGCACCACTCCTAAAGGCGCACGTACATTCAGTATCTTCATTTGATAGTTTAGAGTCACCATCTGTAACGGGCAGGGGGTTGACGAGAGGTTAAGAAGCGAAAGGTGAAGGCGTTTATTGGTAATTATAATAAGAAGCCTGGTACTCCATTTTTCATGGCAATGTTGATCCACAAGAACTATATGAGAGAGCCCGGAGGAAATGACACAGCATAGGAGAGAGCAAAACGAGCGGTTGAGATGCGCAGAAATTACAGGTTGTGTTAACGGTAGATCATAAGGGTTCTATAAACGGATCCGTGGCGGTGGGCATATTGAGCAGTACGGAGTGCATCTACATTGAAAGCTCAGAATAGCGCAGCTCTATACCCGTACGTCCGTCAAGAGCTATTGTAGAAAAAACGGACGAAGCAGCAGACTTCCTACAGGTGATTTTTTAACGTCAACGCGGCCAACTTTAGGGAAACAGCCGACGCTACATTGCGACGTGATTCCTTAACCTAGCTAAATGATACATACACACAAATGACGACGTAGGATCACACGTGGGACTGTGTTGCTAAGTCGTATGTTGTACTGGACTAACGGATTCACCGTTTTTATTGTTGTTTTCTTCTGTATTTTGAAGCGTATCAACTAGCACATACCTCAGTGCCGGTCTTATAACCCAGCATCTCCTTGAACGCTCTACGGCCCACGATAAAGTGGTAACCAATGATCTGCGCCGCCTTCTTCTTGTCCGCCATGTCTTTTTTCGCGGAATCTGTTCTCCAGGCGCTATCGAGCGGCGCGAGAACCGTCACGTTCCAGTCATTGAGAACCGGCAGGAGGTTCTTAACGAAGCCGGTCGATTCAAGGTAGCCATCAAATATTTTGCAGTTCTTGGATTTGAGCGCACCGCGAATCGCGGCGAGCTGCTGCTGACCGTTGTATTTCGCCGCTTCGCATGTGATTACAACTGATGCCGCTAAGGCGAGAACAAGCACAGCCACTAGTCGACCGGCCATTGATGAATGGTAGCGCCAGTCCAGTACTCGAAGATAGGTCCAGATTTGTTACGCGCTGATTGAGACGAGCTCTAAAGCTTCAAGCTTGCGTGCAATAACTAATAGCTCCGCGACGACACCTGAGCGGGATGCCCCACTGCCGTTCTTGGAGCCTTGCAAAATCAAAAAGGGCAGGCTGAATGTGGGGAGGCAAGCAGAAAGAAACACCCTTGAGAATGGTGCCGAAACGGTCGAAAACGGGAGTCTTGGCAGATCCGAAAGCTGGGGTGTCTCAGGGCTTGTTCCGCATTTGTTTCATGTCCTAGTGTGCACCCAGGTCGCAGAACCGAAGCATCATCGGTTAAAAACACTTTGCAACGAACCAGACCGTAGAAGACGTCCAGGACATTCCCGAGCAAAGGAGGTTGAGGGGAGGGGCTGGGCGAAAGTTGCGGGAGACCCTCCTGACGGCTGGAGCACCCTGGTGGAGGAAGGGGGAAAGGAAGGAGGTGAGAATGGAAGGGACGGTAACGTGTTGTGGCGGCAGAACCTCTGACGATTAGTGCGCGAAATTGTCTCGAGTGGTGAACTTGGCTCGGCGAACTGATTTGGGTAGGGAGTGCACGAACGTTGCGAATGCTTGTTGGAGACTAACGAAATCGACGAGTCGCGGTATTCATCCACCGACACCTTCGAGCCATTCAGATGAGAACTGCATTCGCGCCAGGGCGGTGTTCTGTTGCCGCACCACTTGATGCGGGGGCGGACAGGACAGCACCGCATCACATGGGCCCTGTTCTGTTGCCGCACCATTTGGTGCGGACCCCCCCGGACAGCACCAAATTGATGCTTCTTCCGGGGTTCTACCGGAGATCCTAAGAGCTTCCAATACGAGGGCGTATTCCTTGATAACAGGCTCGGGAAACTGAACCTCATCCCGGACCTAATGAGTTCAGTGCAGTCCGTCAACGGAAAAGAACAGTGAACCAGTGAAGCACTCGCTATCCCCCACCCCCAGGCAAAATGGGTGTGGGGCTGGTGCGCCCCTGGTTCAGGGTCTGATGGGGGATCCAGAGTCCGCACAAAGTGGTGCGGGGCAGAGAAAATGTTTTCCTCTCTCATGGTTGGCCCCTCTCCTTTCATGCCATCCAACCCTCCAATGGTCGGTGATGAGAGGAGATTTTCCGATCTGCGAAGGAAAAAAAACATTGTCCTGTAAATTGCGCGGAGAGGGGCAGGAAGATAGCGTGCGCCTTCAAAAATATTGATGCGCCCCGAGCCTCCTGCCGCACCATGTGATGCGGTGCAGTCCTGTCCGCCCCCGCATCAAGTGGTGCGGCAACAGAACACCGCCATGGTGCACCATCAGGAACTTCCGCGAAACAACAGACCAGGTTGGTGCAACGCAGCATCCTGCCGCACCACTTGATGCGGTGCCTTGATCCCCCCTCTGACCCTGAACCAGGCCCGCACCAGTCCCGCACCCATTTTGCCTGGGAGTGGGGGATTACGAGTGCGTCAGTGGTTCACCGTTCTTTTGGGCGGACGGACTGCACTGCACTCGTTAAGTCCGGGAAGAGGTTCAGTTTTCCGAGCCTAGAATCAAGAAATACGCCCCATCAATGAAGCTCGCAGGATCTCCGGTGGAACCCCGGAAGAAGCATCAATCTGGTGCAGTGCAGAGGGGTCCGCACCAAGTGGTGCGGCAACAGAACAGGGCTCAGATAGCACATTCCTGCACCAGCACATTTAGGGCGTATTCATGAGTCACTTTGATTTTCTTGCGATCTGGCTCGCTCGCCTTGTTCGTAAACATCGACCCAGCGACAGCTGAAGCCATTTTGTACAACGGCGATCTCGGTCCTTGCCGCCAGCATTTTCCAGTGGGTCGAATTCGCACCTGGGTGCTATGTGAGAATACACTCTTGTCGCGAGCTCCATTGTGACGAACTTCCTCTCGTATTCACTTAGAATTCGTGCAATACAAATGTTTCAGTATCAATAGTGTCTGACTGTACATGCATGCATTTCTTTTTGGAGCATAAAAAAGAGCAGCTACTACATTCCACCACATTACTATACAAGTATGAGGGCCTAATTACTGTATCCACCCCATGAACAACATCAAGGGGGCCAACGTAGAGGTCTTTCCTGACAATTTTCCCGACATACTTGGCTTCCATTTTAGGGCCCAGGCGGACCTGTCCATGTTTGGCTTGAAGGTTCTGAATCTTTTGGCGATATTTCAGTGTGGAAAACTGGAAAAAAAATCAACAAATGGCAGGGCGACAAAAAGGAAGCACGTTGTGAGCAATTGATGCCCAATACTTCAAAATAAACAGTGAAAACATTCTGGCATCTTACCTGGGTTCCGCTTTTGTATTTGAGCAGCTCCGCGAAGCTGTGTTTGTCTATGAAGAAGTGATAACCAATGATCTGAATCGCATGCCTGGGATTCTTCATGTCTTTCCTCGCCGAAACCGTGGCGAAGGCAGTGTTCGTGGGCGCAAGAATGGTCAACTTGTACTCCTTCATAACGTTTAGCAAAATCGGTAAGAATCCTGTAACGGGAGCCACAGAAAAGGGATGTTCGGTAGATGTGGAAGACAGAGAGCGAGTTTTGAACACGATCAATGGTTTACAAATCTCAGAGTCTTCTTACAAACAGTCTTTCCACGATTACTTACCAGTAGAGTTGATGTACTTGTCGAACGTCGTGAAACCCCCTCGTTTGAGCGCTGCTCGAATTTTTATCAGGTGCGCTTTCGCATTGTACATAGATTTCCCTGTCGCGCTCAAAGCAGGAGCTGGGATCAGGGAGAGAACGAGTAGCGAGATGCATGCAGCTACGAGGAGGTGCTTTGGACTAAATTGCATCATCTTGACTTGCGTGGTTCTAAGACGATCCGGATTACTATGCGCATGCAGTATTTCTAAGAATGGGATCGTGGATGGCGAGAAATGTGCTGATTATCAGTTTCATATTTTGCGCCGACACTTGTGTCAGAGGTCCACCGGTGATCCCCGATTGATCCTAGGGAAGGGTTACAGGCACGTCGGCCTGGGGGGTTATGGGCGCACCGACCCGCTACTTAACAAGCCCTTTTATCCCAGTGGTTAGTGGCTGGGATTCTGACATGGTATCAGAACGAAGGTCTTGGGTTCGAATCCCGGTGTGTGCACTTCGGGTATCCCAGTGCGGGGGGGTGTCAGAGGTCCACCGGTGATCCCCGATTGATCCTAGGGAAGGGTTACAGGCACGTCGGCCTGGGGGGTTATGGGCGCACTGACCCGCTACTTAATAAGCCCTTTTATCCCAGTGGCTAGTGGCTGGGATTCTGACAACTTGCGTTCGAGTCCGTGAGAGGGGGCGTTACGAATCTGCGCCCTCACTGGGTTGCTGGGGTGAAGGTTTCCTCGGCTGGCGATCAGAAGTGCTCTGGGCGGTGCATTCTGTTGTGGGGTTTGTACCGTCATACCCCGGATATACCCCCATGGGGGGCACTAATAAAACGTGTTTTTTTTAGGGGGTGGGCTTATAATATAGTAAATTTATAAGCGCCGGCGTTTATGTTATGACAAAAATGGAATTTGTTTTTAAATATACCAAATCGAAGCACTCAGAAAGGCGAATTCACCTGAGTCGAGAACGTTCGGCACTGTGTATGCTATGCGCGTGAAACGGCCAACAAGGCGTGGCATCACGCCTTCCACGCCTTGTTGGCCAGGCCAGGTTCATCGAACGTGAACCTGGCGCATGCCTTCGCACACGTACCTCGCATCACAGCGGCCCAACCAGGGTTGCATGCGATCGTGGGCACGTCGTGGTTCAGCCACGGCGTGCCCATCATCAGCAAGATTCCCTGCCACCGAGGCCAAGAGCTGCCCAGCTCAGCTCCTCTGCGGGGAATCTTGACTGTGGCCACACTTTCCCCGCAGAGGAAGCCGGGCCGCGAAACTGAAGGGGTCTCGGGCGAGGGCTTCATACGGCCCTCATTCTCAACTCCTCATTCAGTTTTCTCCTCCCGTTTGGCCTGCCGTGGCTATGGCGGGCCTTCCAGGCACGCACTTCTTGTTCCGCCGCCAACCTGCTGCTTAGAGAAAATACCCGCCAAGACACCCGTGACTGGTCTCAATGGCAGAGGCGCCTTGCGCCCGTCCCTCAGTCACAACCAGTAGTGCCTCCCGTTCCTCCGACACCTCCTACGCCTCCTACCCCTCCCGCTCCCCCGGCGCCTCCTACTCCTCCCGTTCCTTCGTCCCCTCCTGAGCCGCCTGCTGTTGGTGTTCCGCGACAGGGGGTTCTGCAGCTTCTCCTCCCCCCTGGCTACTCGGCGTTCGACGCCTTCCTGTCCGAGCCTGAACGCAACGGCGGCGAAGGATCTTCCTCCGCACCGGAGCCACGGTGGGGAGCCCCGGCTAATTGCCCGTTGGACGAATCCGCTACCGGTGCCGACGACGACGTGGTGTTCTGGGCTGCTGACGGTCTTCCCGAGCACCTTCCGATTCCCTCCTTTCCTCCTCTGAATAAGAAAAGGCCCCACCCTTCTCGCGATAATCGTGATGCCCGTCCTCCCTCCCCCAGGCACAAGCCGACAACTCACAAGCGCAACAAATACACCTCGCAAGAGAAGCTGCAATGGATTCTGAAGCTCGAAGCCGGCGAGATGAGTGTGCGGCGCATGTCTCGCGAATCCGGCATCTCCCGAAGGTGCCTCACGGAGTGGAAGAACCGCAAGGCTGAGCTTGAGGGCGCGCACGGTGCACGCTGTCGCCTGCACGGCCGCGGAAGGAGCTCGTGGTATCGCGACATGGAAGCGGAGGTGTACCGTCGGTTTCTCGCCCACCGCAAGAAGTGCCTCGCCGTCTCCATTGCACGACTGCAGAAGTGGTCGCACGAGGTGATGAAGGAGCTACACCCAGGTGAAAAGTGGGCCGGCTCTCAGCGGTGGACTCAGCGATTTCGCCGCCGCTGGAACCTGACGACCAGAGCGAAGACCCGGGTCGGCCAGAAGCTCTCGGCAAGTAAGTTATTTGGCGGTGATGATGTGTCTATGTTTTGTCGATTCACGATTCTAACTCTGTTTGTGCTTTCTGTTCCTCCCATCCCGTGTCCCAGACTGCGAGGGTGAAGTGAAGAACTTCTGGACGTTCGTGCGTCACTCCCGCCGCCAGTACCGGATCGACCTGCCGTGGATATTAAACGCGGACCAGACGCCCCTCTGGCTCGAGATGCCATCCGAACGCACCGTTGAAGAGGTGGGCGCGCGCTCCGTCCCCGTCCGCAGCGGTGGCTACCAGAAGGAGCGGGTTACAGTCATGCTCGCCTGCACCGCCAGCGGGGAAAAATTGAAGCCGTGGGTCTTCTTCAAAAGGAAGACCGTCCCGAAAGGAAATTTCCCTTCAGGTATGCACCACACGTCGATCGCAACCCGGGATGTACATGTGTGTTTAAAATTGTTTTAACCTTTGTGGTTTTGGTGTGCAGACATCCACGTGGGGGTCCATCCTAACGGTTGGATGGACGCGGACGGGGTCATCGAGTGGCTGGACGGGGCGGTGAAGCCGTACATCAACCCCAAGTTCGGAGTCCGCCCGAAGAAGGTTCTGCTCGTCCTCGATTCGTACCGCGGGCACCTGACCCCGGAGGTGAAGAAGAAGTTTGGCGAGCTCAACGTGGTCCCTGCGGTCATCCCTGCTGGCTGCACCTCGGAGGTTCAACCCCTCGACGTCGCGGTTAACCGCTCCTTCAAGGCCGCCGTTCGCCAGCTCTACCAGGAGTGGTTTGAGCGTGAGGGCGTCGACAGCCTGACGAAGAAATGTGAGATGTGCAGCCTGTTTGTTTGTGTTTTTTTATTTATATAACTCCTGCTGACTTTGTTTCTGGATTTGCGTGGCAGGCAACATCAAGAAGCCGCCTGTCGAGCTGACGCTCAAGTGGATCTCGGCGGCCTGGAAGTCCGTGCCCAAGGAATCAGCAACGAGCGTTCCTCACCTGCGGCATCAGCAACGCCCTGGATGGGTCCCAGGACAACCTCTGCCTGCAACACAGGCGAGACGAGCTGGAGGGCGAGGAGGTCGACATAGATGATGAAATTGCAGCAGACGGCTTCTTCTGCAAGAACGTTGAGGAACCTGAGTCGGACTCTGAGGCCGACCCAGATGACCCCACTGCAGCTGATGATTAGAGTAGGGTAGATGTGTAGAAAATGGTCAAGCCTGTGTGAGGCTTGTAGGTAGAAGTAGTTTAACTAGATGTAGATTGACTAGTAAGATGATGTTTTAGTGGTTCAACTGTGTTAAATGTCTTCAATATAAAAAAAAAAAACAAAAAACAAGGGTGGCGGTTATAATGTGTAAGGCACATGTATGCGGTTATAATCCGTAAGCCTTTTAGGTATGCGCTTATAATCGAGCACCGGATATAAGCGCCGGGCGCCAATTACAAGCGCCAGGCGCTTATCCGCGGGTGGCGCTTATATCCGGGGTATGACGGGTATGTCGGCCGTCAATCAGTCAGGTTTCAGGTAATGGACGACTAAGATCCTTTTGACATTGGAGCCTGGTTTGACAAAAATGGGTGCAATTTCTCGTCGGCAATGTCATTTGAACGAACTGTTGGAGGGATGCGAGGCAGGTTGTGCGAAGCGAACAATTATGCAAAACCTCAGGTGTGGTAACGCCGCGGTGTGGTTTCACCTGGTTTACAGCCCGCGAATAACGCCCCCGAAGCCGAGCGAAACCACAACCTTGGGTTTCGCCAATTATGGAATACATGTATTGTTCTTCTGGTATCCAGCACAATGCGTTGCACTATCGACTTGCGCATAAGACAACTTTCAGTATTGCGTACAAATCCAAAATCTAGGTAACCTGACAGCTCAAGATTATCCCCTCGCATTGAAGTTTTGGCGGGAATGGACTCCGCTGAATGTCGGAGTGATCTAGCTAGAGTCTGCTAGTCTTCTTACACATCTAGAAGGTTTGACTTGTGACGATCTACGCTTAGCTAACTTTGACAACTTGACACCGATCTAGCTCTAGTCCTAAAGGAAGAGACCACTGCAGATTAACAGCTGATCTGACAAGTTTGCTGGGGAAATCGCAAGCTTTTAAGGAATCCTAATACTTGCAAGATATTGGCATGATGAACGGAGTTGGAGCTGGTGCTGCTCCGGTGGGAGGGGGTTTTGGTGGTCAAGGCAGGCCGGATTTCCCACGCGCTTCGGCTGTCGACACTCAGGGGGAGAATGTTCAGCGAAGCTTCTTCGACTTCTTGCAAACGTAAGCAACGTTGCGAATATACATTTTCCTTCACTTTCAGAGGAAATGCCTGAGATGAGCTTTTACTTCGCAACGTGATTTTCTGGCAATAATTATTAAATTCACGGATCGTTGGACGACGCTCGACGAAAGGCATGAATGTCATGACAGGAAATTTAGTGACTGCCTAGACATCCTTGTTTAGTAAAAAACGGAAGCATGGGGCTGATGGTGATCTCTTATTCACGGGGATGTGAGTCTATGGCTACCACTCATTGGAAAATGGATTTCCCGTCGCTATTATGGTCGTTGAAGTTTGGTTTTTGGTTAATGACTGCCTGGCCATGTGGACCTGGGTGGCTATGTCTGCCTGGATCTGGATGGCTATGTCTGCCTGGATCTGGACGACTATGTTTCGTTGGATATGAATGGCTATGTCTGGTTGAATCTGGATGGTTATTTTTTACTGGACGGGACCTGCGTGGCAGTGCGGAGCAGAGAGGCGAGGAGCACGAGGAGGAGGCGGAGGACGGGCCAATGGTGCGCGAGTACGTGGCGCAGCTGCATTCCATGGTGCAGTACGGCAAGACAACCATGTATGTGGACTTCGCCACCCTCATGGCGCACAACCAGGCGCTCGCCACAGCGGTTCTGGAGGAGTTTTACCGGTGAGTACTGGTGCAGTGCGGTTCAGTGCGGTTCGGTGTGGTTCATGTTGCAGTGAGAGTTCGTGGCGCAGCTGCATTCCATGGTGCAGTACGGCAAGACGACCATGTATGTGGACTTCGCCACCCTCATGACGCACAACCAGGCGCTCGCCACAGCGGTTCTTGAGGAGTTTTACCGGTGAGTAACAGTGCAGTGCGGTGCAATGCGGTCCATGGTGCAGTGCGGTCCATGGTGCAGTGAGGTCAAGTGCGGTCCATGGTGCAGTGCGGTTCAGTGCGGTCCATGGTGCAGCTGCATCCCATGGTGCAGTACGGCAAGACGACCATGTATGTGGACTTCGCCACGCTCATGACGCACAACCAGGCGCTCGCGATGGCTGCTTTGGAGGAATACTACCGGTGAGTAGCGGTGCAGTGCGGTTCATCCACTGTGCAGTACGGCAAGACGACCATTTACGTGGATGCAGGCACGTGTCTGCTGCATACACACATGCACGCACATGTCTCCATACACGCATGCAGGTTTGAGCCATTCCCATGCAAGTCGGTGCAGATGTTTGTGCAGGTGCCGTGGCACGAGCCGAAGTGCCTTGCACATATTGAACATCAAGTGCCCTAATTTCCAATCTTGCATGTTCTTGTATGCATGCTCATGCTTGTTGTATGCACGTCTTCCATGCTTGCATGCATGCAGGTTTGAGCCGTTCCTGCGCAAGGCGGTGCAGATGTTTGTGCAGGTGCACGAGCCCAAGTACGTGATGGACGAGGGCAAGCCCAAGGAGTTCTACCTCGCCTTCTACAACCTCCCCGTCATCCACAAGTAAGGGTTCAGGTGTACGTTCAGGTAATTTCTCAGGTGTGCAGTCGAGGTGCTAGGCCAGTTACCTGCAAAAAGTTTTGTGGTCTTCCTTTTTGTGGTCATCCCATCCCCCCACACATCCCCCTACCCTCCTCCCCTTTCAGGTTTAGAGACATGGAGGAAGAGGTGTTAGGGCTCTTATCCACAGTGGGTGGTGTGGTCCTACTCTCGTGTTGTCATCCTGCCCCCCTCCCATTCCCCTCCCCTCCTTCCATTCCCTCTCTTCCCATTCATCTCCTCGTCTTCCTCTCGTGTACTCCCGTTTCAGGCTGAGAGATATGAAGGTAGAGGTTCTAGGACAACTATCCGCAGTGAGTGGTGTGGTCGTCCGAACCTCTGAGGTCCGGCCGGAGCTGCTGTACGGCACGTTCCGATGCTTGGAGTGCGGCGCGGTGCAGCGGAACATCGAGCAGCAGTTCAAATACACGCAGCCCATCATATGCAGTAACGCAGCATGCTCTAACAGGGAAAAATGGGCGCTAGAGCGAACGGAATGCCAGTTTGTCGACTGGCAAAGAGTCCGGGTTCAGGAAAACGCGGATGAAGTCCCTCCTGGGTCGCTCCCCCGCACTCTAGACGTGATCTTGAGGCATGAGTTGGTGGAGCAGGCAAGAGCCGGCGATAAGTGTATATTCTCTGGGACGCTGGTGGTGGTCCCTGATGTGGCTGCTTTGACCCGCCCAGGGGAGAGGCATGAGGCTATGCGGTCGAACCAAGGGGGGGACGGGAGAGGCGGGGAGGGTGGAGGAGGGGGGGAGTTGTTGGGGGGAGGGGGAGGGGGAGCAGGGGGAGGGGGGAGTGAGGGGGTGAGGGGGCTGAAGGCGCTGGGGGTGCGGGATTTGTCGTACCGGTTGGCGTTTTTGGCGTGTTCTGTGCAGTCGGGGGATCAGGAGAAGCAGCTGGTGAATATCAGGGCGGAGGACGAGGAGGGCAGTGCTGTCGCTTCATTCACGGTACGTTGGAGTGCAGTGCGGTGCAGTGTGGTGGCGTGCGGTGCATTGCAGGGCAGTGAGGCGCAGTGCAGTAGGTTGGTGCAGCATTCCTAACCTGGTTTGTGCAGTCGGGGGATCAGGAGAAGCAGCTGGTGAATATCAGGGCGGAGGATGAGGAGGGCAGTGCTGTCGCGTCGTTCACGGTACATTAAACTGCAGTGCAATGCAGTGCAGTGCTGTGGGTTGTTGCAGTGTTCCTAGGACTGACTATCCAGTCAGGCGACCAGGAGAAGTAGAGGTGGCTCGCATGAGTGCGGGTGACAACTTGTACAAGCGGCTGATGGTGAGCGGGACAACTTTGAGTCAACTGAGAAGCCCCCACCCTCTATTATCTCTCCCTGCTTCGTGCCGCCTGAGGAACGTGAGGAAATGGTGCGCATGAGCGGCTGATGGCGTGCCGTCGGTGTACGGGGAGATGCATACACTCCCATATTGCTCTTTCCCCCGTGCCCCCTTTCTCAGCCTGAGGAACGAGAGGAAATGGCTCGCATGCGAGCAGGCGGCAATCTGTACGAGCGCCTGGTGGCGAGTGTGGCACCCTCTGTCTACGGGCATGCAGACATCAAGCGAGCCATCCTGTTGATGCTGTTCGGCGGGGTGCACAAGAAGAGATGGCTTGTTTCATGCGTTCAACTATTCTGATCCGTCCTCTTCCCCTCCCTCCCCCCCTCCCCCCTCTCTCAGCCTGAGGAACGAGAGGAAATGGCTCGCATGCGAGCAGGCGGCAATCTGTACGAGCGCCTGGTGGCGAGTGTGGCACCCTCTGTCTACGGGCATGCAGACATCAAGCGAGCCATTCTGCTGATGCTGTTCGGCGGGGTGCACAAGAAGACCCACGAGGGGATCAACCTGAGAGGCGACATCAACGTGTGTGTGGTTGGCGATCCCTCCTGCGCCAAGTCGCAGTTCCTCAAGTGAGTGCGTACCCAACTGGCTTCGTAGGAGTTGTGGGAAACCCCTCCTGCGCCAAGTCCCATTCCCTCATGTGAGTTCCTTCCACCCTTGGCCAAGTACGAGGTTTTTTCCTTCCACATGAGGTATGCACCTTTGTCAAGTCCTGCAGTGCCACGTCTCATCGTGGACGCTCCCTTCCCTCCCTCTGCCCTCACCAAGTACGTGGCTGGGTTTCTCACCAGAGCCATATATACGTCTGGCAAGTTCAGCTGTGTGGTGGGGCTGACAGTGAACGTGGTGAAAGAGCCTGAGAGTTCGGCATCGCAAAACTCACAGACCTCCTTCGTCCCTCTCTGTCTGCCCTCTCTTTCTCCCTGCCTCTCACCACTAGGTATGTAGCTGCGTTCCTCCCCAGAGCTGTGTATACCTCTGGCAAGTCGAGCAGTGCGGCTGGGCTGACAGCGAGTGTGGTGAAGGAGCCAGAGACGGGGGAGTTGAGCATTGCAATGCCCACAGCCCTCTTTCCTCCCTCTCTGTCTACCCTCACATGTTCCCTACCCTTACTCCGTTAGGTATGTAGCCGGGTTCCTCCCCAGGGCTGTATACACATCTGGAAAATCGAGCAGTGCGGCAGGGCTGACAGCGAGTGTGGTGAAGGAGCCGGAGACGGGGGAGTTCTGTATTGAGGCGGGCGCGCTGATGCTGGCGGATAACGGCATCTGCTGCATTGATGAATTCGACAAGATGGATATCAAGGACCAGGTGAGAGGGAGGGATGTGTTGCGAAATCATTCAGGCATGCCGTGGCCATGGCTTTTGATGCTGGCGGATAATGGCATCTGCTGCATAGATGAGTTTGATAAGATGCTGCAGGGTGTTTTTGAGAATTCTCAAAAACACCTTGATGAGTTTGACAAGATGGATATCAAGGAGCAGGAGAGAGGAATCCATTGCGATATCATGCAGGTGTGTACTTGCAATATCCACCATGCTGGTGGGTTAATGGCATCTGCTGCATTGACGAGTTTGATAAGATGGATATCAAGGACCAGGTGAGGGGAAGACCACGTGAGCGAAAGACCAATCCTTCAGAGCAATCCTTCAGAGCAATCCTTCAGAGCAATCCTTCAGAGCAATCATTCAAGCACGCATGTCTAGTTAACACGCAGACTGCCTCTCTCATCACATGCACTTTTGTCTCACTCTCACACCCACCCATGCAGGTTGCTATTCACGAGGCCATGGAGCAGCAGACAATTTCAATCACTCCAAACCAAACACATTTCCACTATCACTCCCACTCACGTGCAGGTGGCTATTCACGAAGCCATGGAGCAGCAGACCATCTCTATCACCAAGGCGGGGATTCAAGCCACACTCAACGCACGCACGTCCATCCTCGCTGCTGCCAACCCCACTGGGGGACGATACGACCGCTCCAAACCCCTCAGAGTAAGCCATCAGAAAAGCGTATTCGAGTAAGCTTGTTCTCTTTATGACAAAGTTCAAGACATGCCTCGTCAGCATCAACACACGCACGTCAATCCTCACTGCTGCCATGCCAACCCCACCGGAGGACGATACGACCGCTCTAAACCCCTCAGAAAAAACTTATTCTGCCACCGGCCATCCTGACTCGGTTTGACCTGGTCCATGTGACCCTGGACACACCAGACCCACTCACTACTCAGTGGCCTGGCACATCCTCACTCCCACTGCACCATGCCCTTGCTCATCTTACCTTCCACTTAACCCCACCCCTCCCTTCCCATGATCCCCTCTCCCCCTTACCCATTCCCCATGTCAGTACAACGTGGCCCTGCCACCAGCCAGCCTGTCCCGATTCGACCTCGTGCATGTCATGCTGGTCCAGCATGGGAATATACGCGTATAGCATATATACGCGTGTCGTATATACGCTAGCGTATATACGCTATCCGCTTAGGGGTCCGGTTTGCAGATACGCTTTTTCGGGCAGAGGAAAAACTTTCCGGGCAGGTGAAAAAAGTACTCCCTCTTCTTATTAAGGCTTGCCCTAGCATAATCCTGAATCCGAATGACTAGTACAATGGGAGGTGGAGTAGACCTAATAGCTTGAAAGCGAAGTAGCGTGAACTCTGGTGAAAGCGGGAACGAAATGACGAGTTAGGGTTAGCCAAAAGGGTTGGCTGGTAAGTACCGTGAGATTTGTTGGGGGGTTAAATTTGACAGGTTGCTGTTTGTAGATAAAGTGGGGTTCAATGCGGTAGAAGGGATGGATTTCAATCCCTATATGGATCTCAAATTCAAGATTTGCCAGACGACTTCGAAGTCAGATCCCCGTTTGCCTAGACCGCGGATTTGAATTTCGACTATGGCGAAATGCTCACCTAGGAATTCCGCATCTTTTTTGCGATTTTTTTCGGGCAGCCCTAAAAATTTTCTGATAGCGTATAGCGTATTCGCTAGCGTATAGCGGATAGCGTATGTACGCTAGCGTACATACGCTATACGCTTAAGGTGTTAAGCGTATATTCCCACTAAGATGCTGGACACGCCTGACCCCGTACATGACTACTCGGTCGCTCGCCACATTCTGAGTGTTGCTGCCTTGCTCCTTGCATCTCTGCTCCCCACCCCCTCCTCATCGCCCCTGCCCACCCTCTCCCCCACTCCTCCGCCCCTCCTCAGTACAACATCGCCCTGCCACCAGCCATCCTGTCTCGATTTGATCTTGTGCATGTCATGCTGGATACGCCAGACCCTGTCCACGACTACTCAGTGGCCCACCACATCCTGAGTGTGCACCAGAGCAGGGGCCGAGCCCTTTCACAATTTCCTCCCCTTTCTTTCCCCTCACTGCCCCCAACCCCCCGCTTCCTCCCCCACTCATCAGTACAACGTGGCTCTGCCACCAGCCATCCTGTCCCGCTTCGACCTGGTCCACGTAATGCTGGACACGCCAGACCCCATACATGACTACTCCGTGGCTCGCCACATCCTGAGTGTGAATCATGCCCTTCATCCCCTCCCCTCCCCTCCCCTGACTTCCCCTCTCTCGCCTTTCCCATTCCCTCTTTCAGTACAACGTGGCTCTGCCACCAGCCATCCTGTCCCGCTTCGACCTCGTCCACGTCATGCTGGACACGCCAGACCCCGTGCATGACTACTCGGTCGCTCGCCACATCCTGAGTGTGCACCAGAGTCGGGACCAAGCGCTACAGCCGGAGTTCTCAACGCTGCAGCTGCAGAAATACATCAAATTCGCGCGCTCCATCCGCCCAGAGGTGTGTGTTTATGTGTGTGTGTATGTGTCCTTAGTCATAATGACAGCAAGCACACAACATGCATGCATGCGTCTATAGTTTAGCCCAAGGGCTTGCAGCAGGGAGGCGGTGGGATAGTCCCAGCAGGCCCTGCCAATCCTGAGTGTTCACCAGAGTCGGGACCAAGCCTTACAGCCAGAATTTTCACCGATGCAGCTGCAGAAATACATTAAATTCGCGCGCTCCATCCGCCCAGAGGTGAGTATGTCTGTCCCTGAAAATCAATCAAAGCGTGCATACACACTCCACAATCAAATCACAGGGGAGCCAAGAGCATGCATGCATGTTCCTCTGGTCTTGTCTGCATCCATCTCCACACCCTCCCGCACCCTCCCCCACCCCTCTCTTCCCTTACAATCAGATCACAGAGGAAGCCAAGACCCGCCTAGTAGAGGCTTACGTGTCACTCAAACGGCGAAATGCCACCCCGGGATCACAGTTGTCGTATCAAATCACTCACTCCCTCCCTCAAACAGGGCGATGATTCTTGTCTCCCATGGTTTCCCCGCATTGCATCCATGCCCCCCCTCCGGCCCTCCCTATCAAATCGCACAGGTCTAGTTACAGACTCCTGGTTTTTGTTTGCCTCCATGACTCCTTCCCTCCAAACCCCCCCACTCCCCCTCAACTCCCCTCCCCCCTTACAATCAGATCACAGAGGAGGCAAAGACCCGCCTAGTAGAGGCCTATGTGTCACTGAGGAGAGGGGATGCCGCACCGGGGTCTCAGTCATCGTATCGAATCACAGTGCGACAGCTGGAGGCTCTGGTGCGGCTATCAGAGGCGCTGGCTCGCCTGCACCTGGACTCACAGGTGGGTGAAGCGGTGGGGATGGGTGAAGCGGTGTGGCTGGGTGAAGCAGTGTGGGTGGTAGTAACAGCTGGTAGGCACTGGTGCCTGCAGTGCAGTGCGACAGCTGGAGAGGCTCTGGTGCTGCTGTAAGAGATTCTATTGAGAATGCTAAAAAAAATCCCTATCAGAGGCGCTGGCTCGGCTGGACCTGGACTCACAGGTGGGTGAGCCGGTGGGGTTGGGATAAGTGGTATGTTGGGGTAGGTATATGCGTGAAAGGTGGTTTCCCCCATATTCCATCCATCCATCAATCCCTCCTCCTATCCCGTTCTTTCCCACAGTCCACTCTCATCCCCCATGTGCTCCCCGACAAATCAGGTGAAGCCAGCTCATGTGCGTGAAGCCAAGAGGCTACTGAGCACGTCCATCATCAGGTATGTGTGTGTGGCACAATACAAAGGATGGCACATTACAGCTGTAGACTTGCTGTGATGTATGTGCCATCCATGTTGTGTTCTCCCATCTAATCCTGGTTTGTCGATGCACGGCAGCACTTTCCCCTGTTGACTCCCGTTCACCTGTGTTCACTCCTGTGTCCCTTTTACTCCCATCGACCCCTGTTGACTGCCACATCAGCATTGACAGCCATGACGTGGACCTGGAGGATGAGGGGGCGAATGGGGAAGGGGAGGAGGGGATGGAAGACATGCCGTTCATGATGGGGGAGGGGGATGGGGGCGATGGGGGAGGGCGAGGCGGAGACGGAGGGGGAGGGGGAGGGGGAGGGAGTGGTGGTGATGATCGTGGTGGGGGTGGGGGAGGAGGGGGAGCGAGAGGGGGAGGCGGAGCAGGAGCAGAGGCATCAGGAGGGAGGGAGGACATGGAGACTGATGGGGGGGCGAATGGGGCTACGGAAACTGAAGGAGGAGGAGGAGGAGGAGGAGAAGGAGGATCAGATGAGCAAACACAAGCAGGAACAGGTGATACAACAACGAAAGGCAAGGAGAAGAAACAAGGAGGAGCATCAGCAACAGAAGGCACGGCAAAGGAAGGGGATGTAGCGGATGGCGGTGAAGACAACAAAGCAAGCCAGAAGAAGTCAAAGCCTGCCGCCCCTCTGCGTGTGCCGTACGACAAGCTGCAGCGAGTCACGGCGCTGCTGGTTACCTACATAAGACAAAAAGAGGCAGAGGAAGCTTCTGAGGAAGCTTCACTTGCAGGGGAGGGAGCAACTGGTACAGGCGAGGGTGGAGAGGAAGGGGAGAGGGGAACTGAAGGAGGGGGAGGAGAGGAGGAGGACGGGGGGAAGAGGAAGAGAAGGCGAGTGGAGGGGGTGCAAGGGGGTGTGGGGGGCGGGGGGGTGAAGCAGGGGGATGTGATGCGATGGTACATGGAGCAGCAGAGCCAAGCAGGCACTGTGGACTCGGTTGGGAATCTACTGCAGGAATTCAGAGTGCTTCGATCCATCATTCAGGTCAGGCATGCCCCCTTTGTTTCGTAAGTAGTTGTTACGTTTAGTGATTCTGTCTGCTCGTCTTGTGGTTTTATTGGATCTGGAGGATTATCTTCATTATGATTTATTGTGCTTTTTTTTCACACTTTTTTACACACTTTTTTTTCTGAGCTCGATCTTTCTGTGCCGTTTCTGTATGGACCAATATTTGTGTGGGCCATTTTTGTTTTCGATGCTGTTTCCATTTCTGTCGTTTCACAGCATTTGATTCGTCGAGAGGGAGTGCTGCTGATTCTAGATGATGGGACTACAGCCGTGGAAGCTGCCAGGAAGGAGCGGGAGGACGCAATCGCTGCTGCAGAAGCAGCAGGCGAACCTGTTCCGACATTCGACAAGCCTCTGCCCACGGATCTGGAGGAGCGGGTGCTAGCCGTGAACCCCAACTATGTCCAAGAATAAGCGCCTTTGGGAGCATTGAAAAAACGCATTAAGACGTTCTCAAATAAGTCTCTGGTCAAAGCAGGACCTGGTAATGCAAACATTGAGTTGGGAGTGCAACTCAGTAAGCTAGACTATGTTTTATGCAGGGCTTTATTCTAGTGGTTAGCAGGAAATACAAGCGCATGTGTTGCTTGATTTGCTGATCTGGTGGCGTTAGTTCCTCACCCCTCTGAACTTTATAACATTGTTGTCACTGACTAACTGTATTACAAAACTGTTATGTACACTAACTGATACACATGGTGGGCTACAAAGCTTAGCGGCGACAAACGCGTACAATGCCGTCCTTCAATTCACTCCCCCTCCCGTAAATCGCCCCTTCTTCCGCCTATTCCCCCTGTCCCGCCTCGTTACTCGCCGCCGTGCTCTGAACCTGAGACGCAGGCGAACCCTTCTCCACGCCTCCGCTCATCTTCGCGGCAAAGCTCTGGAGCGCCGCGGCGTCTTCAACCGTCACCTTAGACGGCGCAGCCGCCGCTCTCTGCGCCGCAGCTGCCGCGGAACCCTTCGCCACTGTTCCGTCGCCCATCTTCGCTGTAGCACTCATCCCAAAATTGCATTCGAGGGGGTTGGTGTACCCAACCATGCAGTAGGGACTTTACACCCCCGCCCCTAGTGTATGTACAGTCCCTGTGATGAACCTACATTCTACTCGGGGTACCTCGTATCTACCATGCTTGCCGAACCTACGAAATGTAAAGTCGGTAGAAAGTATCGCTTTGCTACTGGCTACTGTGTCTAGGCTCTGCACTCGGAGCGAACCCAGAATGTTCTAGCCTACATTGTAGGTTGGGTTCCAAACCTACAATGAGTCTACCAGGACTGTACTTCGACAGGAGCTTGGTCGAAATATTCATTATAATGACTACAAATAACGAACTCCATTACGTTTGGAGCCCGTATCTCAAGCTCCCAATCTAACACAAAGCGTAACAAATAGACGCGAAAACCTACCACTCGCACCAAGACAGCAGCAGAAGCGGATTTCGGCGAGAGAATTTCTCCAGACCCCGAAACGGTGATTTGCCGTTGCACACGTGGCCTCGAATTGCTACCGTGGTTTGACAATTCGATGATAATTGCTCGAGTGGTCTTGCCAGAGGTTTCCTCTGGCATTTTTTTAATCCGGCACATTACCCAAAACCGGTTTTTAGCCCTGAAATTCTTACGTCGAACGTGTCTCTTCCCGCGAAAGTGTGGCGTACCCGGAAAGACGTGCACGAGGGCGACAACGTCACTATTCGGATACGCAACAAAAATCAGCACACTCATCTAGGCAAACAGTTGCGCTCAATTTCGGTCCATATCGTAACCAATCCGTGCATAGTTATATGATTCCACGATCATATATTCAGTTGGACGGATGTCAGTACGCGCGACCACTAACAGAGTGCGCCTGATTGGTCGACTTTATGCGCGGGGCCTTTTCTGACCTTGCGCGTCCAATCAGATGCGGTCATGTAAGATCGCGCTCATATAAATCCGCATATTTACCTATATGAGCGCGCATATGTGATGCTCGAATGTGTGTATGATCTGTTTTATTAATCTAAAACTATATTAATAAATTCGAGAGACATTATCACTGCCGGCGTTTTGCCATTATACCTATATCACGCTGTGCGATATAAGTATGCACAGTTTGATATAGGTATAATGGCAAAACGCCGGTAGTGATAACGTCTCTCAAATTTATTAACATAGTTTTATATTAATAAAACAGATCACACACACATTCGAGCATCACATATGCGCGCTCATATAGGTAAATATGTGGTTTTATATGAGCGCAATCTTACATGACCACGTCTTATTGGACGCGCAAGGTCAGAAAAGGCCCCACACATAAAGTCGACCAATCAAGCGCACTCTGTAATTGGTCGCGCGTACTGACATCCGTGCAACTGAGTATATGATCGGGGAATCATATAACTATGCGCGGATTGGTTACGATATGGACCGAAATTGAGCGCAACTGTTTGCCTAGATTACCGTGCCGATTTTTGTCGCGTATCCGAACAGTGACGGCGCCGCCCTCGTGCACGTCTTTCCGGGTGCGTCACACTTTCGCAGGAAGAGACAATTTCGACGTAAGAATTTCAGGGCTAAAAACCGGTTTTGGGTAATGTGCCGGATAAAAAAAAATGCCAGAGGAAACCTCTGGCAAGACCACTCGAGCAATTATCATCGAATTGTCCGACCACGGTAGCAATTCAAGGCCACGTGTGCAACGGCAAATCACCGTTTCCGGGTCTGGAGAAATTCTCTCGATTTCGGCGCGTTTTAGGCCACAGAAAAACATCAGTAGTCGATTTCAGCAATGTACGGTTCAGATCGAGTCTGAGCGCTCTGTTGAGAAGTGTGAAGTTTGAAGCAGGTTGGAATGTTAGCCGTCGATCAGATACGCCATTGACGCCTAGGATCAGTTATGATTCTGGTAAGAAAAATGAGTCGAAACCGTCAATCTGTATTTACTGGACAGTCAAGATCTATGCTGATTAATCAAAAACCAATCCACTAAGGTTGGAATGACAACCGTTGATCCAATTAAGGTTGGATCTTCAACCGTCGATGTTTTCCCAAGCTGTGCTGCAGATCTCTATGGCCAGCTGAAACTTTTCAGCCGTCGATCGTGCAGTGATTCTAAGGCCACGATCGAGTGATGTAAGTTTGTTGGCAGAACATTTTGCCCTGTTCGACAGCGAGGGTACCCCGCCAGAAACGCTTTGAGGTGACCTCGTTGGTTGGGCGGGAAACGGTTTGCGACCCTCTGCGACGAATCAAAATTCCCGCCAGCGCGAACGACCCCCCTGCGATGTCCTTGGTTTCCCGCCCAGCTGCTAAAACATGGCGGGAATTTTAACGGGGTGGTTTGACACCACAGCGCGCAGTAACAGTGACTGTCGACTAATCATTACAGCCCATCCCTGGTAAAATTTCAGACCATTACCACACCATTGCCAATGTTACTTTTCAAATAAGTGGCCCCAATGCCAGACCAATGGGCTATTTAGGGATAGTCGCGCCAAACAAAAGGTATAAACCAGTTGCACCAAAAATCCTTTCGACACACCTAACTAATGCTGGAACCGATCTGGAATACTCTATACATTTTCAGCACAAACATTTGGGTGGGGCTTTTGTTTTTACGTAGACCGTCGAACCCCCGGGCAGACCCCGCGGCTGGAAACAGTCCGCTTCAAAGGGCCGTTGAGGTGGAGCTTTTCGACCACCTCGGCCGTCTTCGGGTCGGCCAAAATGATTACACTGCCGGCGCTGTCCTACCAGTTGCATTTTGTCGCGACGCTGAACCATTTGGGCGACAGAGCCAAACCAAATGGTTGCATCGTGGGGGCCCCAAAGTGCTATCGAACAGGGCCAATGGTAGACTGCTTCCGACTGGTTTCAAGTTCCATCCACCCCAGATTGCGGTCGAGACACACACAACTGAGTAAATCCAACACCTATCCACTTTTCCTCCATTAATTTCTTAGCTTCCAGCCAGCTTGGTTCCTCTCTCTTCGGTTTCTCCTGCCAGATCGTTCGTACTGTTTTTTAGCCTTAGAAATCCAGAACGCTGCTTGTTGTGTTATCGTCGAACTCTTCCGATTTGCATGTACCCTGTGGCGTGTCGGAGGTGTGGCGTTACGGATGGCGCGATATGGGCTTGCTGATTTGGCGTGGGCGTGCTTGATGCGGTAGAGTTGTTACTTCTGTAAGCATTGCTTTTGGTTTCTGTTGTCTGTTTAGCTAACACTAACGGTTGTATGTGTCGCTGTTTTCTGTTGTTTGTCCTCCTAACCCTAAACGCTGAATGTATTTGTCGCGATCTTGCTGTATCAAACGTTGACAGTTCATAATGCGCTTTTTTTTTATCGTCTCTTCTGAGCCCATCACTAACGCAACTTGAGTGTGTCGCGATTTTGCAGGCGTAAGGCTTGTCCGTGGTCTGTATACTTTGAGGCTTGTCCGTTGTCATTTCTACTCAGTATTTCGTGGGAATTGACAACTTAGCGGTAAGTAATCGCTATTTTGTTTTTTCCTAAACCATTGGTTCTTGTTTTACAGGGATGGGCTGTACGCTTGTTGCTGCCATGATCGCTCACCTAGTGGGGTCGCTCTTGGTGAAGGTTAATCGTATGAAGCGTTTTTAGCAAGTATTTCATGGCATATTGTGTATTTGTAACGTTTTATTAAATCATTGTTATCTCTAAATCACAAACAATCACGCCCTGGAGACGTCTAAACGAAAACGTACAAAAAGGCCCTAGAGTTGCTGTGCTATATACCTACTCCATTCTAGAGTACACAATGTATACATAGTGTATACTGATTACCTTGTTTAGATTGCCATCGCCTGTGCGTGTGGGGTGGAGCTAGAGTGCGCACATTGTGGGGACTTCACTATACCCATTGTCGGAGTGAAGTACGGACAGAGTGGCCACTTTGAGAAGAAACGAGGAATGGATGAACTATGAATGAATTGGGTACAAATACTAACCCTAATTGGGTTGTACCCCTTATGGGCTACCCCACTATAGCCTACACAATATGCAAGAGCTATAATGTTCTGACACACCCCCATAGGCAAAGTGGGGGAGAACAAGGGGTCACAAGACCAGTCAAGCAAAGCAAAGCAAAGCAAGCTCAGGGTGGATCACAAAGTCACCACACATTCCGAGCACAAGTTCAAGGCCACAAGGCCAGTTCACATGCAGGAGTACATATATATAAAAAGGCTAGACAAGCAAGAGCAGGTATATATATATATATGTAACAGTACAAGCAAGGTCAAGAGGTGAGCAAGTGAGGCAAGGTAGGCACAAGGCCCAGCTGAGTACAGAAGCGCTGATGGTCACAAGGCGCAAGCGCCTTGGTGAAGATATCAGCAGTGTTGGCCTCAGAGGCCACGTACGCAAGACGCAGCTGACCACGCTGCTGCAGCTCACGAGGAAGAA